TTACTCTGTTGTGTAGACAACTTTCAGGCCCGCCTTACTGTGAATTACGCCTGTTTACTTCATAACATCCCATGGATGGAAAGTGGCGTTGCAGAGAATGCCGTCAGTGGTCATATCCAGCTGCTTCTTCCGGGCGTGACGCCTTGCTACGAGTGCTGCCCCCCGCTGGTGGTGGCGACAGGAATGCCGGAGGCAAAACGTGAGGGTGTCTGTGCGGCGTCTCTTCCCACCACCATGGGCATTGTGGCGGGATTTATGGCGCAGAATACACTGAAATATCTACTGAATTTTGGAACTGTGAGCGAGTACGTTGGATATGACGCAATGCGGGATCATTTCCCCTCTATCACGATTAAAGCAAACCCGGAGTGCCGCAATGAGACATGTGTGCAGCGACAACAAGAGTACGCTGCGCGACGGGCCGCGATGGGCGATGCGGCCCACCCACTACATCAGGCGAATAAACAACGTGAGGAGCGAGAGGCAAAGGAACGAGCTGCAGCGAGGGCGAAGGCGACAGCGTCGGCAGCCGAATGGGGTATTGTAATTGAGGCCCGCGGCAAGGAGGACTTGGCGGTGCATGCGCCACAGCCTGAGGGCGTGGAAGCCGTCAGTGTGGAGTACGCGTACAGCAGCGGTGCGGGGAATGCGGCGGAGCACGCACAGGAGGAATTCGTGATGACGGACGGTGGAGAGTCACTCGAGGCATTGATGGCGAAAATGAAGGCTCTGCAACACTAATAAATGTAACAATTGGAAACGTTTTCCAGAGGTTGAATTTCAGCGCCTGTACTTTTTTTTTTTTTTTTTCATCCCGCACGTTTTTTCCGTGCCGTGTTGGAAGAAGAGGGGCGAAGAAATTAAAAGAATGTAATGTGTAGTGTGTGTGTGTGTTTGCATTTGTGCGTTCTCAATGGAATAACGGGGTTCTTGGAAATGTCTTACTGCCTCCAGATGCTGTCGTTTTACGTTTATTTCTTTCTTTCTTTATTGCATTTGTTTATTTGCTTTATATTTCTTTTTTCCCTTTTTGTCGTCGCCGCTGCGGCGTTGGATGGAAGGGAAGGTGATCAGGAATAGAGCGGATTTGTCCATTTCCCTGCTTTTTCTCTGTGTGTGTGTGTGTGTTTAGTGCACACGGTATTATATTTCCGCTGCAAGGTGAGGGGGGAGGAGTATTCGTGCAAATGGCCTCAGAGGAGCCTCTCAATGAAATTCCGGGCGAGTGCCCAACACCAGGCGACCTCGGCCATGCCGGCTGGGACGTTCTGCACACGGCGGGCGCCGTGTATCCATACAAGCCTTCCCCTCTTCAACAAGAGGCATTTCGTAGCTTTCTTTACAGCTGGTCACATGTGTACGCCTGTAGCCACTGCAGCTACCACATGCGGCGCTACTTGAAGCGCAACCCGCCGGTGGTCACCGATAAATTGGCTCTGAATCGTTACCTCTGCGAGTTTCACAACACCGTCAACAAGAACATTGCGAAACCCGTCTACAACTGCGACCCCATGGTTGTCCTCCGACGCTGGCACCCGACCTTTCCTGATATGGAGGATCAGCCGACGATCGAGGAGCAGATAGCCGAGCAGCGACGACTGGAGCAGGCGGAGGCACAGAAGCAGAAAGAAAAGGAGTTGCAACAGAAACAAGTGCAAACCTCGTCCCTTGGGGACATGAAGGCATCACGAGAGCGTCTGGTGGGACGCTGGCGTTCCGAGAAGAGTGAAAGTCATGAATATGCAAATAACAACCCCAGCAGCGTGGGAGCATTTGCCACAGGGTGGAGTGCTTCGTCCCGTCAGCATGAAAACGCGGGGGATGCAGCGGCAAAATCCGCTCCTGCCCCATTAGCAGAGAGCCGAGAAAAAAGGTGGTGGATATTTGGGAAAAATGGTAGCGGTGACAAAAATGCAGGCTTTTCTTCCACGACCGGCACGCCTAGCAAAGTGAACAGCAGTGGCGGTGGCAGTAATAGTGGTGGAATGAATGGTAGCCTGGATGATGATGAGGCCAGTGTGATGGCCATATTGAAGCGACTCAAAGCCTGCATGGTCTACTGCCCGGACAAGGACGAGAAGTCAAATTCTGCGTAGTCCATTTTTCCTTAATTTATTTATTTTTGTTGTTTGTTTGTTTGTTTGTTAGTTGGTGTCTTTGAGGGAGGGAAAGGCATTTTGAATGCGTCTTCTTGCAGGAGGCATTGTTTAGTGTCACCCCCGACAGGGGCGAGGAGTGACGTCAGATGACATTTGACCTGAACGTTAGTAGTTTTGGTGTGGAGGAAATACGAATAGATTGAGAGGAGCGGGAATAAAGGGAAATGTAAGAATGATTGCGTGGCAGTGCAATTGGCCTAAAAGACATACATGTGTGTGCATGTGCATTTTGGAGGAGTGCCGCACTATTATCACCATTATCTTTCATTTTCCCTTGGAGTCTCATGAAATAGAAGGAGGATATGGTTGTTCGTTTATTGTTTATTATTTATTTTATTTTTTGTCGAAAAGGGGGGAACGAAAGAAGGAAATGGGAGAATGAAGGGGTGAACCGTCGTTGGATTCGGTAGCCTCCAACGGGAGAGCAAACAGGGATGTCAACAGCTTTAGGAAAAGGTGGTGGTGGTGATTTTGATGGATGTGTTATTTGCCTCATAATCAAATGGTACCGGCATGCCTGCAGTGTTATTTCTGTTTGTGCCGTTTACTGCCCGCCCCTCGTGTTCTTTTTTTTTTTTTTTTTTTTTTTTTTTTTGTGTGTGTGTGTGTATTTTTTTGGGGTTCCCTCTGCATTTGGCTGTTGTGGCTGTTGTCTTCACGGTTGAATCGTTTATATTTTATATATTTGTCATGTGTGTATATTTACGATCTTCACGGCTGAGATTCCTTTTGATTTCACTTCACTTTGCTACTGCCCTGCTTGCAAACACACACACACACAGAGAGAGAGAGAGAGAAGGGAAGTGAAGGGGGTCTCACCAGACGAGGAGGAATAAAATAAAATAAATAAAAAAAAGAGAAGGAAGATGGGGCCTCTCTCCAAGAAGCGCATGATCATCCGCGATGGCGTCTTCTACGCTGAGCTGTTTGAGTTCCTCAAGCGCGAACTCGCCGACGACGGCTTTGCTGGTGTGGAGCACCGCGTCACTTCGACCCGCACTGAAATTGTCATCCGCGCCACGAAGACCCGCGAGGTGCTTGGCGAGAAGGGACGTCGCATTCGGGAGCTTACGGCGTGCCTGCAGCAACGGTTTCACTACAAGGAGGGCAAACTGCAGCTGTTCGCCGAGCGCGTCGAGGTGCGTGGCCTCTCCGCCATGGCGCAGGCCGAGTCTCTCCGCTTTAAGCTTCTGAGCAATCTGCAGGTGCGCCGCGCCGCGATGGGGATCATCCGCCACGTGATGGAGTCGGGCGCGAAGGGATGCGAAGTGACGGTGGGTGGGAAGATCAAGGGACAGCGTGCAAAGAGCATGACATTCCGCGATGGCTACATGATAAAGTCCGGCACGGCCCACAAGAACTTTGTGGACGTCGCGACGCGTCACTGCCACCTGCGTGCCGGTACCCTCGGCGTCAAGGTGAAGATCATGCTTCCAAAGAGCATGCAGAACGAAGAGGAGATTCTCCCTGATGTGATCACCGTCCTTGAACCCAAGGAGATCACGGCTTAAGAAGGAGAGTGGGGGGTACTTGGAACTCAGATACCACAGGTATAGTACAAAATACGCCGATGGCTCTGCGTTCTCTATTGACTTCCCCTTTTTCTTTCTTTATCTTTGCATGGTGTCGATACTTCACTTGCTGTTGCGGTTGTTGTTTTTGTCGCTGAGTCATTTCTGCTCTCTGAACTCAATCATTATTACTTTTTATTATTATTATTATTTTTTTCTTTTGTGGTTAAAAATGTCTTTCCCCCGCTGTGTCTCCGCTGCTTAGGAAAAGCAGATGCTCCCATGCATTCATTCATGTTTTCCTTCTCGATATGCATGGATTTCCATTTGCTCTTTTCCCCCATTTTTTTTTTTTTTATTTCTTTCTCTCTTTTTCTGCTTTCTTTCTTCTACACAGGCATGTCTACATGTTTCCTCATATCATGTGAGAGGGCTTCATACGTTTATCGCTGATGCGCATTCAAGTCGCAGCAAAGAAGGGAGAGGAGGAGTTTGGTTGTTTGGTTGGTTGTACTGCTCCTGCCGCTGCGTATTCCGGGAGGTGGTGATGATTGAGAAGGGTGGAATTGCCGGACATGTTTGGATTCTTTCTTTTTTTTTTTTTTTTTGCCTCTCCCCTCTCCCTCCTTTAACATGTGGGGTTGCGTCCAAACAGACCGTGCACCTCCCTTGTATGGCTACAGCACATCTGTCTGTCTATATATATATATTGAGCCTGAATATGTACATATGCGATGACAGGAGTGTTTGCACTGCTGCGAAGTTAGTGGGTACGATGCGCACGTGAATTACCCTGCATGCTGGAGAGAAGGGCAAGTCAATGGAGAGAACTCCTACACTTTTTCAACGATGAATCTTCTCTGAACCTTCATGAAGTCATTTGTTTTGTTTTGTTTTATGAATCATTGACTGCATGCCTCTGTACATGACCCTTTGGACGGTGTTGCACTTTTATTTTCATTTCTGTTTTTACTCTTATTTCTGCCAATGAACATTGCACGTGTTATTTCTTTTTATATGACAGTCTGCCTCTTATTTGTGTGAGTGTCTTTTTAATTGCACATCCGCAAATTTATGAAAAGAGGCAAGTGATCCCAAGACAGGTGGGGGGGGGGGAGAACAGACACGAAAAAAAAAAAAAAAAAAAAAAAGGTGGAGAGAAAAAATATGATGACCGCAACATTCTTCAGACGTTCACGCGTACATTTTGTGGGAAAGAAATTGCAGAGCCTTGTCGCCTTTGGTTTGCGAGACGAGTACTCGCCCTTGTGGCCCGTTCCTCTTCCACCACAACCGCCACATTTTGCAGGGAAGCCCACGCTTGTGCTGGACATTGACGAAACACTTTTGCACACGTACGGGATGCGGTTGGTGAGGGAGGACACAGTGGGATTTTCCCTGTACCTCCGCCCACATGCACGTGAGTTTCTTCAGGAATTGAAGGAGTTGTATGAAATTGTCTTTTGGACCGCAGGTACGGCGTCTTACTGCTCCGCCATGGTGGACGCATTGGAGGTGCAAGTCCTGCAGCTGCCACGCTCGTTTTACAACGTGGAGGAGATCAAACATCTCGTGCGTGGGTCCCCGTCGACGGAACATGTCAACTTCTTTGCATTATCCCGCACGCAAACACTGGAGGAGAACAGCTACATGAAATATTTGCCCATGTTGGGTCGTCCCATGCATCGTGTCATCATGGTCGATGATAATGTGCGCAGTTTTCCCCTGAACCCAAGGAATGCTGTGAAGATTTCCCCTTTTCTTCCCGATGACCGTGTGCTGATGGAGTACAGCCAGGCGTTGTCACTGATGAAAGAAAACGGCGACGAGAAGAAGGAATGGGACGCGTCCCTTTTAGAAGTTATTAATCGTGGAAAAGCGGAGATTCTCCGCTTGGAACAGGATGAGGCGCTGCTTCAACTCCTTCCACTGTTGCGAAGCGTGGCCAAAGCGGAGGATCTTCCGCGTGAACTTGACCACTGGCGTGACGACGACTACGTGCGGTGCGACGACTTCCACGAGACGATGAATTCGCGCTCTGTTGCACGCCAACGCATATTAGGATCAGTGCTGCCATCACGTCGTGACACACCGATTCCACCTCTGAAGACTCATGTCATGAATCGTTGCTTCCTGGATGAAGCGAATATCGCCATGCAAACTCAACACATGAGGTGTATTCGTTCCAGACTATAAATGGGGGAAAAGAAAAACAGAGAAAAAAAGAAAAACATGAAAATGGAGTCACTGAGGGATGTTTTTTTTTTCTTCCTTTTTTTTTTTTTGCTTCTCATGGATGATGTTAGTGTTTAGGAAGACTGCACAAGTGAGGGAGAGAGAGAGAGAGAGAGATAGGAGGAAGAAGAAGTGGGGTGAGACGCGTTGTTTTTTTTTTTTTTTTTTTTTTTTTTACATGGACCACTTACCGCCTTCTTGTGGGTTGATTTATTTCTGGAGTGTAACTAATGAAATTAGACAAGATGTGTTCTGTTTCTTAGCTTATGCCGGGAGGGAAACTTTGCTTGTATGGACGTTTCAAAGTACTGCGATTGTAAAAGGGGTCTGTCGTTGGCCCGCCTTCATTATTGATTGCCTCCACCTCCAGCATACATTCGCTCCTTTTTCTATGTATATAAATACTTTTTTTTTTTTTTGCTTTGCTTTGCTTCTTTTTTATTTCTCTTCCTGCTGTCTTGCGTTTCGCGTGAAGGGTGAAGACGACGCTGTAGAAAAAAAAAAAAAGGGGGGGGGGGAAAAAAAAGGAAAAAAAAAAGGAGAAGGAGAAGGGGGAATTGTTGCGTCCTGTCTTGAGGTTAAATGCTCAACAGGGAAACCTGCGACTCGTCGGTGTCGCTTGCTTCATGTCGCAGTTGTGTTCGTGGTGGGTCGCGGCCTTCTGTCGCTACGATGGAGCTACTGGAGTCCATTGGGCATGCAGAGGAGCGTATCATGGCGGCATGGACACGCATCGGCCTGGCGGAAGTTGACAGGCAAAACAAATGGAACGGATTTGTGGAGGGGCGACTTCGTCCTTTTCTCGACGATTATATTCGCTTGCAGGAGTCAGAAGAAATGGCAATTGCCGCGGAAAATGATCAGCTGTTTCGCGAGATGTTCTTTTCCTCGCTGAGGTTGAAGGAACGCCCCCGGTCAAAAGAGCTGGCGCAGTTGGTGGAGGCTGTGCTCTCGCAGGGTGCCGTGAACAACACGGTTGTCACAGCGGGGGAGGAGCCGGAGGAGCAGCGCCACTGTACCGACATCGCGGCAGATGGAGGGGAGCCATACGTTGACAGGGAGGCGAAGGAACGGGATGCCTCTGCGACATTGCCGTCTTTTGTTTCTGTCGTGGCGGCACTCTTGGCGCGAGGTGACGGCGGTGTCGGCTCTCGCGGCGCCTCTCTTGCATCTCGTGCCAGAGAAGACGGCTCACATGCACAACATGACCGCGAGAACCGAGGTTTGTCGATGCCAATGCCCGAAGGAACTACCACAGACGACGCGGCTTGGGTGGCGTTTTGGCAGCTGGCGCGGAGCATGACGCATCAGGAACTTCACCGTAACTTGGAGACTGAGGTGGAGCGTATGAACGCCCTTGCGGATACCCGACTTCAGCAACTCTGCCTACTGTATAAACAGCGAGCCCTTTTACGGCTTTCCCCGCAAGAACAGGCACGGATACGTGGAAAATATGCCGAAAAACTACTTTTTGAGGAATTGCACCACAAGCATTCACGTAAATTGCAGCAACCAACGTCAACTACGCCAACGGCTGGATGCAGCAGAAGCAGCAGCGACAACTGCGATCGGGGAGTCATGACACCAGGCCCTTCGTCCAGTCGTGCCACAACCTGTCGCAGTTGCCACTCTGTCGCGAAGGACGAGCTGGATCTTCTCTCCGACACATTGCCTGAGCGGCTGCGTGCGGATCATGAATGCCCAAAACTGTGCGGACCCGACAGGGATGAGGCATCCATCGCAGAGTTGCAGGAGGAAAACACAGGGCGTGGGACCATATTTGATGTGGATTTGGGTGATGTGACTCGATTTGGAAGGCGACAGGACCTGTCATTGGCCCGCATCGACGCGGAAGCCCAAGAAATCTACGAGGAAATCAACGCACAAAATGTGCGCATGGCCGCCCAGGCGGAGAAGGAGCTGCAGTGCGTGGAGGAGCTTTGGCGACTGTTTGAAGAAGGCGCCGATGTCGTTCAGGACGGGCCGGCGTTCATGAGGGAGCAGACGGCGGAGAGCCACCCCGATGGCGAGAGAATTCTCCCGTCACGGCAGGAATTTGCCTCTCGTCTCATGCAACTGCGCCTCGAGTACGACGGTCAAGAGGGAGTTGCGGAAAGGTGCGGGGCGGTTGCTGTGGATGAGACGTGTGACCGCCGGACAGGGCTGATTTATGGGATCACCGCCGCCGGCAACTACAGCAGCAGCAACAATGCCGCTAACAGTAACGTCACTTTGCCCGTCCTGCGATCGGCGTACACCGCGAGGGCGCAGGGGTGTTCCAGTTACTTTGCCAGCATTTCAGAGACTACTCACAGTAGCACCGTTGCTGTTGCCGCTGGTGTTACGGGTACCACAAACCAACTCCCATCACCGCTGATGAAACTTTTCACTACGCGTTCATACGCGCCCGTTCTTTCTTTCATTGTCACAGTGCGGGAGGAGCTGCAACGCCGTTTGCTTCAGTGCCACGTTCAATTTGCCCAGAACGTCACGTCGCAGCTTACAGATCTGTACCGCTGCTATTTTGAAAAGACTCGTGATACGGCGTATTATGTGGCGCCGGACTACTCACAGTGGCTGCAGGAAAATGTCGAGGTGGTAGCGGAAAAAAGATATCGACCCCTTATGCATTGTGGCAATGAATCAAGTGGTGGTGGTGGTGGCGTATGGCAACAGTTTTTGGCGGAATTTACACCGCTTGATGGGAACGACAAACTCTGTGAGCGTATTGCAGACGTGCGGCACGTTGTCAATCGTGCGAGTGCCGAAGCCAATCTTCTGCGGCGGCGTCTGCGGATACTTGACGAGGCGGAGCCGCTGCTTAGGCGACGGTCCGAGATTCTTGAGCAGCAGCAGGCCACTCAGGAGGGAAGCCGTGACCGTCTGCTCAGCAAGCGAATCAACATGGCGAAGCAGCTGCTCTTTGAGGAGAATGCGCGACGTCAGTTTGCACGGGAGCTACCGAAGATTTATGGGCAGTTGGAGGAATTACTGAACCGGTGGAACGAGACAATGGACGCTGACGAGGGTCATCATGCCAGCAGCAGCAGCAGCAGCTCCACAGTCAGACGATTGGTTCTACACGGCACAGATATTGCAGACCTTGTACGGCAGTTTCACGACGATGTTGCACGCACGCACGGTGGTCGTGTGGGCCGCTCCCCGCCGCCCTCTCGAAAAGAGGGCACGGGATTTTTGACGCCACAACGAACACCGCGTGCGGCAGGCCCCACAACCCACAGCCATCCCCACTCGCATGACATGCATGTGGAGCAGCGACGGGCTGCGCTCTCCACCTCGCCGGCGCCGCGCCCCGTCGCCAAAACACTCTCCGCACAGTCAACACCTGCACGTGCAAAGTTACACGCTGCAAAAAAGAGTGTCAACCCTGCGAGTAGTGTTAGCCCCGCACCGGTAAAACGGAGACCGGTGATCACACGTCGACAAGGGATTCGATCAGTGCCGTCGGTGAATGAGTTTTTGCAGCGTCAGCCTCAGTCAGCCCCGAGGAGGTGCAGTTCTTCCAGGAATAAACCAACCTCGGTGTCTCCACGTGTTGACACCTCTACGAAAAAGTGAGTGCAACTCTCTCACTCGCCTGGTGATGTTGAGGAGCAAGTCCCTCCATACGTAACTTACATGCATGCATACATATGGCTGCTGTGCTCCTTTTTTTTTTCTTTCTTTTTTTCCCTTCCGTTCACGTATTGTTTGTTATTGTTGTTTTTATTTTTTATTTTTACTTTTCAGATTTAGACCCAAAGACAATAATGGGATAGAAAAATTACCTCCCCAAAGAAATACTTAAAAGGAGGAGGCTTCTGGGCTGCTCTGTATCCCAATTTTCTCATTTTTCTTCCTTCGCGTCACATGTCTCAACGCACAGAAGAAATGCACACATATTAATATATATATATATATATATATATTGCCTGCCTGCCTGCCTGTGTGTGTTAGAAGAGGTGTTTCCCCGCAAGACAGAAAAGAAAAGAAAAAAAGAAAGAAAAATTAGATTTAGACCTTCACCTCATATATATATATATTTGATTCTTTTTTCTTTACATGCTTCCATTTAATCATGAATGCACGTGTGGGTGGGTGGGTGTGTCTTTTTTTTATTATTATTCTTTTATTATTATTTTTTTTTTTCCTTCTCCCCTTCTCTGGCAATGGGGTATAGTGGCTTGCGCATACATATACACACATCTCTTCATCATTTTCCCCATCATACCAGTCGTGATTGGAATACGGTTGGTGAGGCAGCTTATTGGAGTGACTGTGAGGGGGGAAAGAAAGGCTTAAGAAGGTGCGGGAAGTAGGGAAAGGACAATCAGACACTGGAGGAAGAAGGCAACCCGGAGCCATGGCAATACCAAAGGAGTGGACAGACACGTGGAACCTGTTCGACGAGCGCAAGACAGGTACTGTGAGTCAGACAGACGCCAAACATATCATCCGCAGCCTTGGACGAAGATACACGGAGGCGGAGTTCAACGAACTGCTGCAGGGCGTCCCGGACCCCGTGCCGTACCAAAGTTTTGTCGACCTCATGCAGAAGCCATACACTGGGCCATCCGAAGATGACCTGCGAACAGCGCTGCGTGCTTTTGATGCTACGGACTCGGGCCGCCTGAAGCTCTCGGAACTAATCACGCTTTTGACGTCGCTTGGGGAGAAGATGCCGGAACATGAGGTGAAGCAGCTGTTAGCGGAAGTCAGGACGGACGAAGAAGGACGCGTTGAAATTGACGATCTCGTGCGATTTCTTTGTACACCTGTGCCATCCATGACACCAGACATTGCGGAACTGCAGAAGCAGCTTGCTGAAACCAGCTGAGCACGGCCACGCAAGGGGAAAAACAATTTTATATATATGAAAAAGAAAAAATGTGAGTCTTTGTTACTTT